CCTTGATGACTGATCTGATCACATTTCTTAGGAAGGTTAGCTACACTGAGAATCAAAGGGCAGTAAAACAGGCCGTGGGCATTAGGCTGGCATCGCTGCTAGCCCTGTCAGCAGGAGGGGAAGGATGAGGGGGCAGGGGGGAGGGAAGCGAGTTCCCATGGAATGTACAGATTCTGAAACCTCCTCCTCAGCCCACCCCCCACCAGAGCACATGGTTCTCTCTGAAGAACCAGGAATGGGCCAGTTAGAGACATTTAGAGCCAACCCCAGATGTCAATCATGGGAGAGAAGGTTTGGATGAATCCCACAGGAGATTCCAGGTCACCGGCTGGCTTTCACTGAAATCATACCCACTGGATTCCAGTTACCCAATACCATGCCTACTGTATCGCCTTCCCTCCAAAGACTAGAGACTCATCACAGGCAAGGACCACTGCCACCTCTTGAGTTCTCTGTCTGGAAGAAGGTAACCATCTTCCCCAGGGACAGAGGTATCACCCACTCGTTCACACTGTGGGATGCGAGCCAGGAACCGACTGCCGAGCAGAAGTCTTAAACCACTGTGACACCCAGTATTTGCGGATCACTTTCATTTTAAAGCCCGGGAGATTGTTGACAGTCTCCCTCAGATGTTAAAAGGTTGCCAGAAAAAAAAAAAAAACAGGCTGTGGGGTTTCAGCATCCAAAACTTTAAAGCCAGTCCCTTCGAGTGAACTGCGTGGACTCGGTTTCCTTCTACCTGCCCTAGATCCTGCCTCTTCTTAATCTCTGTCTTGTTTTCCCTTCTTAAAATAAGGTGCCCAACTTCCCTGCCTCGCTCCCCTTTCAAATCAGAAGTTTGTTTCCAGGAATGAGTTTAGTGGGGGAGGAAACAGGAAGCAGGGGGGGGTGCTGGCAAAATGCCTGCGAACCAGGATGCTGGATCAACCTGGGCTTGGAGCCAGGCAGTGTTACAGCTATGTGTTTCTTAGTTTTGGCAGTTTGGCGTCTGAGGGTAGAGAGAGGGGCCACCAGGCCACTTGTTAGCAGAACAGAACACTGAACTGCTTCTTGCCTTTGTCCACCACCACCCACTCTGGTCCCAGGAGGCAGCCTGAACATCTTGGGTCTGCCATCGCCAGAGTTCATTCTTACAAAAGCAGTTTTAGATTAATACCGCATTAGCGCAGGGTGGCAGGCAGGGGTTGGGGGCTAAGGGAGAGATCACAGTCCAGGAATGACTGGTGCACAGACTGCCTAGCAGGACACCTCCATGGACTTGGGCCCGGCATTGTTCCCGGTGGCACCCGAGTTGGGGGTGATATTGAGACGGGCATCCTCGCTGGTGTGGGAGCGGCTGCGGGGGCCCTCGCTGGTGTGGGAGCGGCT